TAAGAATGTAAGGTTTGTGTTGTATTTGTGATTTTAAATTGCTCGCACTCTGCATAACTTTCGATTAACTTGTAAAGTTTATCTGTGGAAACTGATTAGGCTACTGTACTGTTTTTATTTTTTAAGTTCACATGTATAAACTCATGCTGTTTGTTTCCTTAATAAAGAAAAAATTAAAAACTTAAGCATGGACACTTGTCCATTACTGAATTTCATAAAATATCGAATCCAGTAATGAACAAACCCCGGAAAAAACTTATGGCTGTGATAAGACATTTTTAACTTAGCTCAATTTACTTGCTATTTATTATTATTCAGTAAAAATAACATGAAATCTCATTATAACACAACATAAGATAGCACCAAGCACAAATATGTACTCACTTCCTTAACGGTTTCAATAGTAAAAACGGATTTTCATGACCACCGCGCGCAACGAGATTTCACTTCGCAGCTATCTTAAAACAAAGTGGCCGATTTTGGTGACGTGTGTCAAAATGATAGCCCAAACATCTATTGATTGTGATTTTAGTGTTGCCAGTTCAAAATGTTGCGACAGTTGCTTAATAAATTCGATCAACGAAAAAAATGTCCATAATTGGTGCCATGTCCATTACTGGTGCCGTCACCCTACAGTAGCCCCCATTTTTTCACATAAACAAGTCGACAAACGTGTTACGTTAATTTACTGGCAAATGAACTATTCCACGCTAAGTTTATTATAGAGTGCATCATAGTTCACACAGTCGCGGTGCGTTGGACCACTTAGTTATATAACTAGTGGTATTGCGCGTGTTACCATAGTTGCCAAAGCGTCGTAGGTTGGACGCAAACGTAGACGTTGCATGGTTTGTCAACCGATTAAAAGATAGTAAGTAAGTGTAATAAATACAAACACTGTTTAGTTTTAAAATTGTTTGTAAACTTTTTTATCTGAAAGATTTAGTTACATGAAATATTAAAAAGAGCTGAAAAAGTTATGTAATTTAAAGTGTTTTTTTTTTTTAATTAAATCCATAGTGCTAGAAAGAAAAAACTCCGATGGTGTTTTTAAATAAACTTTATTTACACTTACCAACATAGACCTTATTGGCTGAATTGCGCCATCTTACTATAACTTAAAAAAATTCAAACATCTGTCAACTCCATAAAAAACATTAGTTAGTGTTATAGTTACGGTTAAAGTAAGTTGCAACTCAGTCTAGTTTCTACATAGATAATTTATTACACTTTTATTGACACATGTGCGCTAAGCCTTAGGTCTGCAAAACAGTAGTAACCAGCCAATTCAGTATGGTCGGTCGATCGTTGAGTAATTTTTAGCTGTAAATAGAAATGGGAGTGTTGGACACTGTTGCGACGACTGGAATCCTGTCGTAGTAATAAAACGCAATATTGGATGGACGCTCTTTCACGCAATAATACATAATTAATCTATAATAAAGCAGTTGATAGAACCAATTGGTAAATCATCAATTATAAGAAACGCTTGTTTCGCTCTATGGCTCTCTTTTCTCTGCACTATCCATTAGAAAAAAAGAAAGAAAGTATTTATTTGATACGAGTTTTAAATGAATGAATAACAACTTAATTACTAAAAAACAAAGTAGGTACAGGGTCATTCCATCGTTTCGGGTGTTACGTTCGTACACACATATTCAACAATTTCATGTATTTTGAAATAGTATTTTAATAATGTTAGTGCCTTAATCTGACCGTTTTTAGTTGTTTCATCTAAATAATAAAGTTTGTACAGCTAAGAATGTGGGATAACGAAAATATAAGTCGAAAAGTGTGCGTTTCGGGTGTTACGAGATTTTGCCTCTATGTTCTGACTGTTGCTGCATTTACTCGAAATTTAGCGAATTTTCTTAAGGAATCATACCTAAAACTTACAGGACTTCTAAAGTATGAAATTTACAAGGGTATTTCTCATCGCCACGGTTCTCATCGTCACCTTCGTGGCGAATTTTATTTCTAACTTATTTCAACTTTTTGTAAACAAAAATTGTAGCGCTTGATGTGAAGATTTTATTCTCAGTAAATCAGTCAAATAGCGAGTCTCGTTTGGAAGCTTTAACGTTTTGAATTTTTTGATGCCACGAAAGTGATTCTGTACTTCACAGCAATATTTTTTTAAAACTTTATTAATATAAATGACTCTTAAGTGTTTATAAAACATATATTTTGTCTTATTTTCATAGATAAATAGCAATAACATTTAATATAAATAGGTACCTACTTAAATACAAGATAAAATTTTACCGATGACGTCACCTACTAAGTTACAAGATTCTACGCAATTGGTTTTAAGGGTGACACTGGTGGCATTCTGAAATGCTAAAGAAGCAAAAAAACGGATTATCAGTACCTCAATAAAAAGAACTCTAACTGATTATCAGTCCCTCAACAAAAATATTTTTAATCGTATTTTTGTTGTACAACTTTTAACTCAAACTTCAGATTAAATTCATCTTACAAACAGATACACAGTCACATATAAAGACATACATACAGTCGTACAGACAGATAACAAAAATACGAGACGCTTATTTATTTATTGATGTACTGATCTCTACTTACCACGTATAATTTATTAGTTATTAAAATATTGTAAAAACATAAACACCAGTCACTATATTTTAAAATCCATGTGTAAGGTACAATAATAAAACAAATACTTATTTTTCTGTTTCGGGTGTTACATCGCCGAAGTAACAAGAAAACACACTTAAAACTTGATGATTATCAATTTTTTTGGGACTATGACGCTATCTACCAATACTATGATGATTAATACCCTCGAATTATATAGTGGCAAAACATTTCACAGATTGATAGTTTTTTTAAAATCGTATTACCAATAATTAGAGATAAAATGATCATTCACAGACAGTTGACTTAAGTATAGACTTTGAAGACTAATAACTTAAAAATTACTTGTTTCTTTCAGATTTTTTTTTTGTTGCACATTATAATTTGGAATGTTTACTTTCAAAATTCATCAGATTTAATGCGAAAAGAACATATTTAGTTTTCACCCTCGGTAATTGTCATGGAATGACCTACACGCACCATAAAGGCATCTGCTCAGTAACGATCGTTTGAATTGTCTCCGTAATAAATTTAATTAACGCAGATCTCGACACCTTTTTGTACTTTTACCATATCAATAATATTCATGGTCCTTCGAGCCGGACATACTTTTCATGATTTGTCAAAATAGGATACCAGAACCATAATATCATTTTAATCATCACTGGTCTGAAAAGTAGTAAATAGTTGACAGTTAAACTGTTCACTTCAGTAGCTCAATACGAAAATTATAGTTTCTGAATAGCCACTAAATTATAAGCATTTCCTGCTTATAGGTTAATTCCCATCAATATTCAGGAAGACCATTGTCGGTACCAACAACGGGTCCTGATTATGAAAGCGTTCCTCCTGTAATAAACACTAGGAATGGACACTTCTGTCGTGTTCCATCGGGCTTGTTACTGTGATTATGGCCTAAACAATATTCAATATTGCCTATGCATTATTATGCTAAGTGTTTAGATGCTAAGGGCTTTAGTGAATATGGCTCTGTAGGAGAAACGGTGAAGGAATTACAGGAAGAAATAATATTCATTAATTCATTTTAGGTGTTGTAGAGTTTTTGATTTTCTGAGATGTTTTTCGAGTATTTTATTGATTGATACATATAGGGTGTTCCAAAAAGAGAGACTAATATGTAGATGACCATCAGTAAGTATGTCAAAGATACGATTTATTTTCATGTTTTTTTTAAATCCCCAATTGCGAGTCTATCTCTTGTCTTGTGATGCTGCGTGTACTAATGAGCAGACATTTTTCAAGACGAGTAAGAAGAAGAATAACAACATCTGCTCATGTCAAAAATATCTGGGACACCTTGTATTTAATGACCTGTTTGCATATTGCACTCTAAACTCTGAGTGACCTGCATAATTTCAGACAACACTATCAAAAAAATATGGCCAAATTCATATGAGAGTGCATAAAGTGAAGTTGATTTCACACATGCTCTACTTTGGACTTCTGACCGTTGCTTAAACCCGGTCCAGGGTTCGATGTCGACATGGTGTAGTAACAACATTAGTTACACATATCACCACCAAATAGGTCTAGGTCGAGTATATTTTGAAAAGTTGTTTCAACATTTTTTTATGGAATTGGCTAACAATTATTTTATTTACGGCTGATTACAATCAAGTTAGATATTGCAGATGAAATATGTACTCGTAAGAATTTAATAAAATAAAATCGTAAGTATTGGTTGACAGTAAAACACAAATTCAAATAGTATATTCAGTACATAGGCCCTTTCCAGGGAACTTATACACGAACACGTCCCAAATATAGCTTGCCCTACCACCACTTCTTGACAACATAAATGGGATGGATGCAAAGGTTTATGTTACTAAAGCTTAGTTGTTTTGAGAACTAAGCTTTGGTTAAAGCTTTGAGTTTTCTCAATGACAATGTTTTTGAAAGCTACGTACTATTCTAGGAAATAGTGACTCAATTATCTAGCATTTTCTCATTTCACTTTTCCCCACAAACATGTAATATTTCTATTGTAAATCCGCGTATTGTCAAAGAACAATACACCTTGTTGACCCTTCCGTCATCCGTGTCCAACCTCTCATGACTGCGTACAAATAGTTACCTACTTTTAGTAGTATTGATGATTTATTTTGAATAATAATTTGTTTCTCTGTCTTTTACTGTTTTTACGAGTTCTCAATGAGTGGGCAGATGAGATTTAAGGCGTTTTTAAGTTTTGATGCGATTTCATAAAGTTTTCAGTGACCGCTTAGTTATTTCCCCAAATTGCATTTTACTCAATACAATTTTCGAATTTAATAAAGCTGAAGATTTCTACATCTGAAAACTAATTAACTAAGTACATTTGCTAAGAGATCAACTGGACATTAACTTACTAGATTAAACTGGACTTTTTAATAATTTTGTTTCAGGAACAAAGATGCAAGAACCCGCCCACAGCCCCACAGAAGATAGAAAGAGTCATCACACTATGTCAAGATGAAATCAAAGTTTCCATTTTGCGAGGTGAGCTTTTATCTTATTACAGTTTAGTTTTTAAACTTTAATTCCATAGAATTTAATTTAATGTCATAACATCACGTGTCAGTTTCCCACTTCGCAAAGCTTTTTTATGATAAAAAGCGTTAATTGCACATAAAGCCGGTGAAATGTTGTGTTACTAATATATTTTTAAATGTTGCATATCTGTAACGTAGCAATTAATGTAATTAACATCTTAATCGGCTTACCCGCGAGAAAGTCGGCTGCGTTTCAATGTCGCGAACCAGTTCTAAACTGCCTCGCCTCTACTTGTTGTTATTTGGAGTACGAAGGAACTTTTGATTTCATTTTAATCTCGAACGAATTTTAACAGCATGTGTATACATACGATACATACGAGAAAAACCTTTAGCGCAGTGCAAAAAAGACAGTGCATCTTTTTTGTAGCACGAAGACCTTATGCAGTGGCGGATTCACAGTTTTGCCGCCCGTAGGCTAGGGTGGGGTTGGATCTTTATTTAACTTTTATCTTCTGAAATCGAGTAAGTGTCATCTGAAATCTGCCGCCCCTAGGCCGCGGCCTATACGGCCTATTGACAAATCCAGGACTGACCTTATGTAATGTCTGGATGTGCCTTTTTTTAATATCGCCAATTCAACCACATTCAGTTATCTCCTGGTCAATCTAGCTGATGATTTCATCATCAACTAACTTCCTTCAAATACAAAGCGGGTTGACGTTACTTTTAATCTGACATTTATTTGCAGAACTGGCTCTTTAATTCTATAACTAGCAATAAACCAAGACATATCCTCAACTTTTGCAAGATTAGTACACTGTTACAGTCACCAGCACATAAAACTAAACATTTCTATTGCAAAATAGCATCTATTACAACCGTATAAGAGCTTAGCAAAAATGTAAACCGCGACCAATCTCATCGAATGACACCGATTATGGAAAACCAATCGGGCGGAATGAATGCAACGTGGTTATGTCACCTCGTTGTGATAGTTCATCTTGCACAATGTTAACAGTTCTATTGTTCTGTGGAGCACGTGGTGGAGACCACAGTCAAGATTGGTGCAGTAGGCACGACTGGACATGAACCTTTCACAAGCTTTCATATGACTCTAGTTCTATCTTTCAGTCTAAGTATCAGCCCTCCCTAATTGTTTTCATTAATTTAAGAGCATAATTAATGACCTAAGTAGGGCTGCATTAACACTATAGCATCCAAACGTAATTTGACTGCGAAGAAAATATTAAACAAACATTATTTATTTCGCTTAGCGCATCTGCGCATCTAAAGGATATCTCTGAAGGATAAAATTAAATGGTACCTAAGCTAGGTACCTATTTAGTCACCAAGTGTAAAAAAGGAGGTTCTCAATTCAACTAAGTATATGTTTTTTTTAAGTACAAATCAAATAAATACAGAGTAGTAATTTACTTTTAGATATCGAAATCAAGTAGGTACGTTCGGAGAGAGACCACTGTATATCTCTGCATTCTATAGAGCAGCAACCTACTGCAACTTTCTCGCACCTGTCAGATGGTGTATCGCCACATCACTGACCTGGGTCTCAGTGATGGATAATACATTCCTTGTGATATAAAACGCAACGTTTCTTTTGTAAGATAGATTTAGGAATTAAATTAGCTGAACAAAACAAAAAAAAAATAGATTGCATGTCATAAACGACCACAAACGACGATGAAGATGACATTATTGAGTTTTTTTTAATAAACAGAGTTTTAAAGTTAAACACGCAGAAAAACATATTGCTGAATTCAAAATGAAAGCAGAATTCACAAACATACATTTCTATTTTCTAAGGAGTTATTTTGATATAGTGTCATAATAATGCAAGCCTTTTGAAATCATAGAGGTGATAAATTATATTTGTAATACAAAAGTAGTTCAACAACTTTTTATAATTTGGTGTAATTGTTAATGTGTTTACTTACTTCACACTTATTTTATTTTAGTGGCTCAAGGTTATTAATTTATTATTGCTCAGTGTTTTCCATGAAGTCTTTTAACAGTTAGCCCTCATGTCTTCTCTACATCTAATTAAATATTGATTATGGAGAAAGTTATCGTACCGACTGCCACTTGCTAGGAGTCAAGGGAATAAATCAAAACTTTGATAAGTAGAATGGTTTATTTTAAGCTTTTAACTTACAATTTTAGTAACTTAGATGTATCATAGAGCGCAATGATCATGAAATCCTGCCTTGAAAATGTTCGTATCTTACTATGCAGTTAATAAGTGTAGCACCTTTTTGTTTTAGATTATATCGTGCAAAACAAAAGCTAATAAAACAAATGCCAAACATACGCGAGTTACGCGCATTACGGCTAGTTAAAAAAACATGTAAGAATCCCGCGCTAACCGCGGGGTCGCGCGTTCAAGGTCGCGCAGTGAAAGTGACGTGTGCGAAGTGGTTAACACCGAGTTTTGGTGAAGGGACCATGTAGTGTTGGGGAATTCGAAATCTATATCGATTTCGTGGGAACCTGTTTGATAAGCGCTCTTTTTGTTTAAACTTAAACTTGCGAAATTATTTGGTAAAGAACAACTGTAAAAACAACACAAACATTTTTAACGTAAATATGTATCTGTACATATTGACATAATAAGGTAGGTATATGGGTACGATGCTTTCCCACTTCCTTGGGATACTTTATACTTGAAATAATAAATGATGAAGTAGGTAAAGGTGTTGTTTACTCTATCTTGAAATATCTGAAGTCCTGAAAAGGGACGTGATACCTCTGAAACTAGACATATTTTAAGGATGTACTAAATAAATCCCAAAGTATACCAGATATATCCGGAAAAATCTAGATAGATTGTAACCCTACACGTGGGGAAACTCACATGACTCAGCTATTTGCACTATTTTCACAAAATGTGTACTTTATTCAAAGGGAAATAGACACACCATAGGTTTATCTCTGTGTGGTGTAGGGTAGGATAAGGGTTATGTATTTTATTTTACTTTATTCATTATAAATCACATGGTGCGTATTTTCTCTAGAGTCAGTCGTACAAAAACCCATCAGACCAAAAATCTGCAGCTATCATCATTATGACATCTTAAAATATTTGCCGATTAATTAATATTCAAACTCCATATGTAAATCCGGTCAAGTTATCCGGCGTAGAAACAATCTAGATCTGTAGCTGTTCGTAACCTTGTGTGAATTATCGGATGCTAGCAAAGGTTACTTGTCAAGATCACGACGGAAAAGATTAAAAAATATTTACATAAGTCTATTCGGCCAAAATAGGCTAAAGTTGACTCTATATTACGCTTTGCTGGTTCGCAAACATTGCGGTTCCTTTCGTAAGAAGAAGGACTGCAATGGAAAATGCCTCTTGGTGCATCATGTAGCTATAGTTATGGTAATTGGATAATACTTTTGGATTGCTGTTAAGGATGTTTTAAAAATAACTTGTAGTATTAGGTATGAGGATTGATAACAATAATTATGTACGTACTTAGTCAAATGATATAATTTTGACAGTGTAGTGCATATGACTGCACATGATAGAATTTGCAGTGCAATATTTCATTTTTGGCCGCAGAGTCAGAATTTTTATTTGCGTAAAAACAAACGTATATTATAAAGATGTTACATATTTCTTTAGTAGTGGAACACTGGAACATTTATTTTTTTCATTCGTCTGTTTTATAAAATAAATAATTTGAGCAGAAACTGCACACATCTATGAGTTCTAGAGCCTTCTAAAGCCATGGCTTTCGTTTGAGTTTTCAGAGATATCACTCCGTTCTTAAAAAGGCTAACGGAGGAATATGTCGAAAATAGTCAACGTTCAGCTGCCCCCAATGCATGTTGACAATGAAGCTAAAACAAGGTGTCTTAAAAGGAAGGTTGAAACGTAACTGTATTGACTGAGATCACCTGTGACTCACGTATTATGACTGAACTGAATATGTAGGTATAGTAAATAGTGTATAACAATTAGCAGTTCTTTTCAAGGATTTAGCTATTGTTGTTTGTAGGTCTGCAATGTTGTTACCTACTTTAAAATATAGGTCTAATTGCGCTCTCCTTTTCAGCACTGGCCCATTATTGTCCCGAAGCAGTGGTAGGGTTAATATTGGGATGTGTAAAAATGCTTTTTAAAAACCTACTTGCAAAATTAAAATGAGTTTTATGAGTTTTATAATAGACCTATATCACCTACTGTGATTACATTATTTTTCTCTAATTTATATTTGAAATTTAGTAGTGGAACACTGGAACATTTATTTTTTTCATTCGTCTGTTTTATAAAATAAATAATTTGAGCAGAAACTGCACACATCTATGAGTTCTAGAGCCTTCTAAAGCCATGGCTTTCGTTTGAGTTTTCAGAGATATCACTCCGTTCTTAAAAAGGCTAACGGAGGAATATGTCGAAAATAGTCAACGTTCAGCTGCCCCCAATGCATGTTGACAATGAAGCTAAAACAAGGTGTCTTAAAAGGAAGGTTGAAACGTAACTGTATTGACTGAGATCACCTGTGACTCACGTATTATGACTGAACTGAATATGTAGGTATAGTAAATAGTGTATAACAATTAGCAGTTCTTTTCAAGGATTTAGCTATTGTTGTTTGTAGGTCTGCAATGTTGTTACCTACTTTAAAATATAGGTCTAATTGCGCTCTTCTTCTCAGCACTGGCCCATTTATTGTCCCGAAGCAGTGGTAGGGTTAATACTGTGACGTGTAAAAGTGCTTTTTACCCGACTGCGCCAGAAGAAGGGCTATGTTTTTTAAAAGCCTACTAGCAGAAATAAAATTAGTTTTATGAGTTTTTAATAGACCTATCACATCTGTGATGACACAATATCTAGCTTGATAAGCTCCGGTAAATAGTGAAACATTGTTTTCTCTAATATAATGCAATGATTTTCAAATCGATCCATATTATGATGTTTGTATTTCAGACAATTGTGTCTGAAATACAAACATCATAATATGATTATTCATATTGATGAAT